GAGGACACGCCCCTTCCATTGCTGCCCGTGTCCCCGCCTCTGCCTGTGTATGAATGCTGGATTCAGAGGCGGGTTATCATCACCTGCTCTAAAAGTCGAGCGACCGTTCTCTGTGTTCAGGTCTCCAGCAAAAGTGCAAAAACAGCAGCTGCACTGAGGTCTGATGTTCCCTCTGCCTCCTCAAGCATTGGCTTTATCTTTCTGGCTCCTGCAGAGAGGCAGGGCCTTGCTCCAGGCTGCTGTTTTGGTGGGGGCAGGTGTAACATTCAAACCATTCACCACTGAACACTTGCCCTTAGCTGAGTACCGGGCACATGTTAGGCACTCAGTAGCACAACTGAATGAGTGAATAGAGGAAAGTATTTTCTCATGTGCTTTGTGCTTGGTCAGCTCTATTTCCTAACGATGAGTGTGTGCTGAGTGAGTGAAGCGGGGTAGACCTTCATGCAGAGGTTGATGCACTACACAGTCTTCTAGATGGAGTTCTGCACCGCACGGTCAATGTGAGGCTGACTCATTCCCTATGCGGAGGTATTCCTGTGTCCCCTGTTTGATTCTGAGGTCAACATTCTTAGTAGCAGCAAAGGAGGAAGACACAAGTAGCGAAAACAGCCAGGACACAGCTCTGTGAGTGGCTGACTTGATGACGAGACTGAAAAGAGAACGAATGATCACCACCTCTGGTTCCCAGCAAAGGACCCAGTGAAGGGCTCCAGGCCCTGGCTGTGGTTGTGTAGGGAAACAGGGCTCTGCTCTGCCTCCTGTGACCAGAAGCTGCTGCTGCGCCTGAGCTGCTCTCTGTCCTCTCACGGGGGCCCTGACACGTCCTCCTGACTTTCTAAGCACTTTGCTACTTCAGAAGCTAAAGGAACACAAAGGGACTGGCGGTTGGATTTGAGCAAAGTCCTTGGGGTGAGGGAAGGGAGCAAGAAAAGGATGCTCAGGGGCATTTGCTTCTCCAACAGCTAACACCTTGGTGTCAGTGCTGTCGTGAGGGGTTTCTCTTCCAGGAACCCCAGGCCCTGAGCAATGAGTTACTACCACCTGCACATAACCCCCAGGCTAACTGGACCCACTCTGCCATTACCAAAATTCCCTAAAGAACATGACATTGTTGACCAATTGAAGGAGGGCCACAAGCATTGCAGACCAACCAGGAACTTGGACATGAGCTGAGTATGCACCAAGTTCAAACTGTAAGAACCTTCACCACTAATCCCTCGGGAGCCCCGTCTGGCTCCTTTCTGCCGCCACCCTGGTGTCAGGGGTTGGCTTTCTGTGTGTTGGGCGCGTGGCCCCTTTTTGGGGCATGTTCTATCTCATGACCTCCAGAACTGATGTGATTCTGGGGAAGCAGCCCAAGGACTTCAGTTGACTCCTGGACTCCTGCCACCAAAGGGCAGTTCTTGATCACCACCAGACTCGCTCAGTGCTGCTCCCAACACGCAAGGCACAGAACCCCGCTCCCCACTTAGGGCATTTGCTCTGTCTGTCCTCTGGGCTCTTCCCCCAGATCTCTGCCTGGCTCATGGCCCCGCCTGCTGCCCTGTTTACTGTCACTCTTCTTACGGTGCACTTCTGGTCTCCCTTAACCTCACCTACCAACGGACTAAGTGGATCATGGATGACGAGTATTGTCTGTTTCCTCTCATCAGAAATTAACTTCCCTGAAGGCAGGGACCTTGTGTTACTGATGTAGCCCAGGTGGGGGGAGCCCTGCTTAGCACATAGCAGGTAATGATACTTAATGAGGAAATGTGTGAATCAGGAGTCTTTCTTGACAGTTCCCTCACCATCCAGTAGATGGCGTGGTTCCCAGCGCCTTCACCACTTTGGCCACTACTAACGTGGCTGAGCCTGGAACAGAACCCGAGCCTGGTTCCTGACTGAGTGGGCAGAAACGAGGCATAGATACCGTTCCGACCTCGCTTGGTGGGTCAGGGCCCAGTGAACTCTGTCCACTCTGTGGACACATCTGGATCCCTCACCCCAAAAGGGCACGTGGGTTCCTGTCTCCTCCCACGGGGGCACTGCCTTTCTCCAGCTTTGTCTAAATAATGTTTTATTGGACTGCCGGCTGTTTTGGAACCCTCTCGGCTTCATTCTTCTATGTCCAGGTGCCGCGGCAGAGAGCCCCAAGGACGCCCAAGTGGCTGAGGACTGGCTAGGGACCCCCGGCTCGCTGCTCTCCGGCCAAAGTCAGGAGAGGCCGCGGGCAAAAAGCTAAGCATTCTGTCCAGAAACGGCTTTCAGTTTTCGAGGGAAACAGAAGAGCTCAGAATCTCTGCAAACGTCAGAAAAGTCGTTTGAGGGGAAAAAATGGTTTCTTTTCAGAGTGGAAAAAATGAGCTCAAAAATGAGAAGAAGAGCAGCCTACTAGGAACACTGTTGGAAAAACAAGAAAGGTCTTGAAGAACACGGCTCTTGCTACGGGCAGCCCCCTCCCCGGCTCTCTGAGATTCTTCCCTGGGGCCCCATCCCAGGACTTTCTGGAGCTCCTCTCCCTCCTCCTCCTGAGCCCCCCACCCTGCACCCTGAGGCCCTTCCCTCTCTCCTGGGGCCCTCTCTCGCCTGAAGCCCCTCCCCTCCTCTTTCGGAGGCACCTCCCTCCTTGGTTCCCCAAGACTCTCCCCTCTGTGAAAGTTTCCCCCTTCCCTAGTGGATGGTCGGAGAGGGCCAGTCCCTCAGGCCCACCCGCCTTTCCCTCCAGGAATCCCTGCTGTCCTCTGGCCTGAGGGGTCCCAGCCCATCACCCTGGAATGTTCTAGAATTCTGCCCAGAGGCACCATCAGACTGCCTGGGCTATCATTTTGCACATCTGCCTTGTCCTCTTTTTATTGAAATCAGGGAAATTTCTCCATGTACTGCTTCCGTTCTCCACTATGGCTGAACAACTTGTACAGTGCTTTGAGTTGTAACATGCTTTTGCCGGCCTATAATTTATTTATCACAGCAGCCTTGTGCAGTAAACACTATCATCTACACCGGGCGGATGAAAGCACTAAGGTTTAGAGAAATCAAATCACTCCACTGAGGAAGTAGCCAATCCAGGGCTTGGACCAGGGTCTCTTGTCGTTCTTCCCCGACACCAACCATAATGTGCTCTTCGGAGAAGAGCGCCTCCTAGGGGCCCATCTTGGAGTTACCCCCAGGGCTTTCCTCCCAGCAGCCTGTTCCCCCAAGCTCTAATCATGCATCCTGATAGACATGAAGAGGAGGTGGAGAAAGCAGGAGGGAGCTGCTGGGCTTCTGGCATGCGCTGAGCACTATTATGTGGCCAGGACCGAAGAGCATGCTTTGCTTTTTTCTTTTCCATTCACAACCATCTGGTAAAGTACAAGGACCTTCCTAACCAACTAAGAAACCCAAAGCTGCTAGATAACTGACCCTAAGCCGTAGTTACTGAGCTCTGTATTTGGCATTGGAGGGAAACCAGGTCTGTGTACTCGCAGTATTTTAAACCACTCTGCGAAAGAGGAGACAAACAAGACCTCTCTCCATCTTTACAACTCAAGTTCTTAGGGATTCCTTCAAATATCTGCAGGCTTTCATGGCAATTATTTCAAAGAACAAAGAAACAATTTTTAGATTCCCTGCTTGTGAAAAGGAAACTCATTTAGATGGAAAGACACCCTCAGTTACAAGCTTACTGTATGAATTTTGTAGAGTCATGTGGCTCATCTTTCAATGGACCTCCCTCAAATCATTGAAACTTATCAGCAACAAAGCAGGATGATTGGAACTGTTAGAACAGATGGCATATTCAATTTCAGATAGCTCAACTTAGCTTCTCAGTGGAAGAGTGTTTTGGGATGGTTACCCTGCCTGCACTGTCACTGTGCTGAGATGTCAGCGTTTCAACACATACAGACACATGAATGGGACACCTCACGGGATGGTAAGGAGCAGGTGCCAGGAGAAGTTGCCCCATTTTGGCTGAGCTCCAATCTCAGAATGCAATTTTTGAACACGTTTCCTTTTCCTACTACCTGGCTCTAGATTTCTTTTCTCACTTAGAGTATCAAGAGTTTGACTTAGAAGGTCTGTAGGTTCCTTCCTACCTTGTGTTCCTAAAACTAACTAAATCGTTCAAAGCCCTCGGGGCCAGTTATGTTGTGAAATTCAGGTACACTGGCTATTTGGCTAATAGAGGGAGGGGACCTAGGACAGCACCCCATGGTGAATCTTACTTAGTAATATATCTGCAGAAAATGTGTACATTTTCTGTCGGCGCTGTGGCTCACTAGGCTAATCCTCTGCCTGTGGCACCGGCACCCAGGGTTCTAGTCCCAGTTGGGGCGCTGGTTCCGTTTCAGTTGCTCCTCTTCCAGTCCAGCTCTCTGCTGTGGCCTGAGAAGGCAGTGGAGGATGGCCCAAGTGGAAGACCAGGAGGAAGCAAGCACCTGGCTCTTGGCTTCGGATCAGCGTAGCGCTCCAGCTGTAGTGGCCATTTGGGGGGTGAACCAATGGAAGGAAGACCTTTCTCTCTGTCTCTCTCACTGTCTAACTCCTCCTGTCAAAAAAAAAAGTGTACATTTTCACAGAAAATGGGATGAAGAAAGAATTTTAAATAGTCCTATCATAGTTTAGGTTGGATCCCTCCCCCACCACCCCACTTGAATTCTAGAAAGTCAAATTTCAGGCCAAACAAGATTCCCACAAACTTATCAAGAAGACTTCCAGTTTTTAGAACCTTGGCTAATTTACAGAGAAGGGATATTAATACAGCAATGACCATTTCTTTGGATGCTTTATGGATGGTAACACCAGCATTTATCTGAGGTACATTCTTAATGGGAAAGATGATAGATTTAAAATGCTTTTTCTGTAGGAATCTAAAATCCACTTCACGGAGATCCAGGATGGCCTTGCTGTTTCTGGGATCACCGTGTGGCTAACATGGAGGACAGTAAGAATTATTAGAAATTGTGACTGTTTAGTGTTTAGTCTTCAAGAGTTGGATCAATGTAGCCCCATTAGGCTCAGGGCTCAGTACTTACAATGTTAGAGAGTGAACTGAATCCAGTCCAAGAGGGTTTTCAACAGTAACAGCTGAAAGGAAAATATTTTCTGTTCAGATATACAGCAACTTAGGCAGAGAACACTCTACTTCCTAATAATACTGGCGGTCAGATATTTTGGACTGACCTTTGCGGGTCAGCAGCTCTCCTTGAATACCCAATAAGCAAACTGAACCTAAGAAACCATCTGTCTTACAGTATTTTCCTCGTCTCCCACCCCTCATCTCTAAATGGTATAATGCACCTGTGCACTCAAGGCCCCTTTAGCTGCAGAGGTCCCATAGGGACATGTTGGGGTTTAAAGTTTTGAGGGAAACACAATACTGCACATCTGTTAGACATCGTATGAACTGCTATCTTTAGTTATACTACATTCCTTTTAATGATGGCGTATTTTACAAAGCTGATTTTTTTGGACAGATGTTGAGATAAAAAGCAAGTACTACCCAAAAACCCAGTGTGGCACAGGAAGTTAGGATGGCTGAGTCCAAGACTTAAGGAGTTGTGTAGCCTCAGGGGGCACATATGTGACTTTAGTAAGCTGTTGTGGCTATTTCAGAATGAGATTAAAAAAACCATTTTTCTTTAATTGTCAGGTTAAATTTTGACATAAGTATGTGACACAAGGATGAGACACAAATATTTATTAGGTTACTTGGACATCACTACTTAGTAAATGGAACCATTAGGAATTTCTTTTGGCTTAGAGTACTGTGAAAAACTCACTGAGATGCTAAGGGTGCCAGTGTTGCTGAAAGCTTGGTCCCTGTCCCTGGTGCCAAACAGAAATAACGAAGTTTTGGGATAAAGAAAAGAGAACATTTAATCTGTCTGCAGATGAGAGGGTAGCAGACCTCAGGCTTTCAAGGACTATTGCTGTGCTGGATGAGATGGTCTAGGGGTTTATAAAGGGGCTCCGAGGAAGGAGGTGCTGGTATGGTGACGTCACAAGCCATAAAGGAGCTGCAGGTCTTTGGTGTAAGGAGCCAGGGCTCGTCACTAGGCTGATGGCAATGCCTTCCTTCTCAGTTTCATCATGATGGTCCTTGAGGTCCATGGGGAGTGACATTTGGCCCAGTTCCTCTGTGTACAGCTTCATCTTGCAGGTGCATCAACATCCCACAGCAACAAAAATGGACAGTTTTCCTCCAGAGTTATCACTGTGTAGTCTCTCTTTGATTTGTCTGATCCTTGAAGCTATTTCCACCCAGGAAGTTTCACACCAGTAGTTTCTAAGGGGATATCGGGCAGGTCCAGCCTGCTAGGACACACTTGCTTAGTAACCTATAATCAGTCATGTATAGGTTCCCCATACGGTCCAGAAGCAAGGTGGCTGGATTTTTAGAGCAGCATTAGGTTATCAAATAACATGACTTAGCATTTCCCAAACAGCCAGCACCCTCCCTTTTGTTCCAGAAGTGGCAGCACACAGTGAGTTGCATGTACTGTGGTGGACCGGCCGGAAGTGAACCAGTGTGTCTCCTGCAGTGCCTCACAAGTGGCCGTTATCCTCAGACACAGCCTTGAGTGACGATGTCCAGGTTTCTGAAATGTACGCCATAAATCATTTTATTTTTCCCAAATTTTGAGTCGCTACTCCCAGTCCCACTCCTTTGACAATGACTCTCAGGCAATCATGTGTGAGAACGCTATCTTTCTAAACTCTTAGCCAAACTAGGTAATCTCATAAAGACAAGGGCTTCTTATATTCTTTGGGAAGAGAGAACAGCTTGTTAGTTAATGAGGGCTTCATTTTCCTTAGCAATACTCATGATTTATCATATGCAATTGTTCTGGGTTGGATAGTTAATGAATGAAGCAACTTCATTTTATTATTCTTCATAGCAGGCAAGCTCTACATCCCTTATGCTTCTGTCCTTTAACCAAGAAAGAAAGACTTGCAAAGGAGCGTTCCTAGAATTAAACCAACTCGCCGATGTGTTTCCTTCTGCAGCGGTTAAGTCCAGGAAGGGTGCCCTGCAAGGCAGCAGCAGGAACAGGTGCAGAATCACTCGACGTCTCTGGTAAACAGCAGTAGGGATTAACAGAGCTTCCTTTAATAAGATTAATTCTGAACTACTAAGAGCGGCTTGGCATATCCCCAAAGATACGAGGCATTTGTATCTCTGTAAGATTAAAGGAGCTTTCACACAAAGCAATTTTAGTTTTCATCATCAAAGAGAGGCTCTGGCGGGGTTGCTGGAAGGAGGCACCCTACAACAAATGGGTGCAGCGCACGACTTCTTGATAGAAAAGGCTGTTCGCTCAGCCGGGAATTGTGCTGGTAGCTTTCACTGCCCAGAACACCCGGGGCATTGTTCCTGGACTCTCAGGATTATGGAAAAGAGGCCCTGGGTTAGGAATCAGCACGACAAACACCCCAGGCAGGTGGCTCTCTAGTGATAACCTTGGGTTTCCAGGGATGGGGGCTCCGTGCTTTCAGAGGCAGACTGTTTGACAGCTCCAATAAATAATAATGGCCATGACGCGGGTAATAATCACGATAACAAAGATCACAGCCACCATTTGTATGTGCGAGGCACTGTACTTAGCATGTAACAAATGACACAGACGTCTGCCACTAAATCTTCCTCCTGCGGGTTCCCAGCCAGCCCGCCCAGGTCTGCGCTCTGGAGCCGCACACAACGGACTTGCTCCACGGTAAGCTACAAGCACGAGAAAGCGGCTCGCGTGTTCTTCACATGTTTGTTTGTTTCTGTCCTAAACTGGTTTATTTTCTTTTGAAATGAATACAGGTATTTACATGGATTAGTATTAAATTTCATCGTGCCGGTGTTGCTTCACACTCCCAGGCTGCGCAAATATTTGTGAATCCTGGGTTTAGTACTCAGTGCATTAATCAGACCTTATATAACATGAGCCTGCAATTTGTAAACCTCTAAGTCCCCCCTCCCCCTCCCCCTCCCTCCCTCCCTTCCTTTCTTCCCTTCAAATGCAGCCACAGAGAGGGAGACACACAGAGAGATCCTGTATCCGCTGACTCGCTCTGCAAATGGCAGCAAGCGGGAACACTGGGGGCCCAGGGGAAGCCAGGAACCTGAAGCTTCATCTGGGTCTCCCACATGGGTGGGTGCAGGGGCCCAAGCTCTTGGGCCGTCTTCTGCTGCCTTCCCAGGCACATTAGCAGGGAGCGGGATCCAAAGCAGAGCAGCTGGAGGACACAACGGTGGGCCCCTTTCGCCTTCTTTTCCTCTTTCCTCCCACAAGCATTTATGAGAATGCTGCATCAGGCACTGGGGCTGGCAGGTTGCATAAGGCCCACCTACAGGCCTCGAGAAAGTTTCTTGCTTAATCAGGAAGACAGAAAAATAAACTAAAATACAGCAGAGTGTGATTATGTACTAAATGAAAAGGTTTTTTTTTTTAAAGATTTACTTATTTATTTGAAAGAGTTACAGAGAGGGAGGGAGAGGGAGAGGGAGAGGGAGAGAGGGAGAGAGGGAGAGAGGGAGAGAGGGATTGGGAGAGAGAGAAAGATCTTCATCTGCTGGTTCACTCCCCAGATGGCTGCACTAACCAGTGCTGGGCCAGTCCGAAGCCAGGAGCTTTGTCCAGGTCTCCGACCTGGGTAGGCAAGGGCCAAAGTACTTGGGCCATGTCTCGCTGCTTCTTTTAGACCATTAGCAGAGAGCTGAATCAGAAGTGCAGTGGCCAGGGGATGCTGGCATCGCAGGCAGCAGCTTTACCAGCTAGGCCACAACGCTGGCCCCCAAAAGAGGGGAGTTTTTTTTTTTTTTTTTTTGATAGGCAGAGTTAGTGAGAGAGAGAGAGAGACAGACAGACAGAGAGAAAGGTCTTCCTTCCGTTGGTTTACCCCCAAAATGGCCGCCATGGCCAGCACTGCGTCTATCTGAAGCCAGGAGCCAGGTGCCTCCTTCTGGTCTCCCATGCGGGTGCAGGGCCCAAGCACTTGGGCCATCCTCCACTGCCTTCCCGGGCCACAGCAGAGAGCTGGACTGGAAGAGGAGCAACTGGGACAGAATCTGGTGCCCCAAGAGGGGAGTTTTAACATGAGTTGGAGGAGAGTAATTATCTGTAAGGGGAGTCAGTGGGGGCCCAGTAGAAAGCCAGCACTACCTCAGGATCCTGGGGCAAGGATCCCCCAGGGAAATGTGAAGTCCCTACTGAATTAATGCCAGCCAGAGGATGCTCCAAGGTGTAGCTGCCTTGGCTTGGTGGTCTAGGCTTTCACACATGGTAGACTAGAGAACCAGAGAGCATTCTAGATTTCAGTAAGAGACGGGGAGGAACAGAGTCAGAGAGGAAGGGGGTCTTTTACAATCTGACAATGCTTGGGGAGACATCAGAGAGGCTGGTAAGGCCAATGCAAAGGAACTTGGTGGTTACGACCGTCATGGGTTTCTTCCAAACACAGTCAAGCAGGTCACGTGGAGGTGGTTCTCAGCACAGACCCTGGAATCCTCAGAAGTTCGGCAGCATGGCTTCTCCGCACACGCTCACAGAGCTCGGGATGCTGACAGGGGCCTGCAGCTTGCCAGGAGTTAAGAATTTTGCAGGAGACAGAATGGGCGACCTGGGCAGACCCATCGTCCCAACTTGGATCCATGTCCTTGTTCAAAGACAGTATCCTCAGGGAAGCAACACCTGCGACAGCATCCTGGAAATTAGTGGTTCTCTTCGCAGTGCCTCCTACAGTTCCTCAGACCATGTAGAAAGCTGGTTGCAGACTGGTTTGATTAGGGCTACTGAGCTCTGCCTGTTTGCAGGAGTTCAGAAATTAGACACAGGTGAAAAGTACTGATAGTGTTTGTTTCATTAGATAGTGTGTGTCTGTGAACATGGGCAGGTGCAGCTGCTGGGGGCAATGAGTGCGTCCATGGCCATGGTGAGCGTAGACCACACACATACAGCTGAGCTCCAAAAGCAGCGCTGGAAGCCCTGAACGAGCATCAAGTTGGAGTTGTCGTAGCTACCGTAAAAACAGGACTGAAGAGTGTCTGTGGATTTGGAGCTGAGGAACAGGCTCAGGACTTGGAGTGGGCGGTCTCAGCACACCTTTCTCCTACAAGGCTAATCCATCAGTCTGAAAGGGCCCAGGTACTTGCTTCCATATTTGGAGTTCCGAGGTACCGAGCATGAACAATAGAATAAATTCCACTATTAAACTAGCACTTTCTATGTTTGGTGGGATAGAGAGAATCCAGGCAGGTGTTTTTAGGAGGTTTTTGAGCTCCTCATCCTGAGGGAAAGAGGCCAGATAGACCACCAAGATCAAGGAGAGGAGCAGCAGGTGCTGGGTGAGGGCAGGTGGTCCAGGTCCCTGAGATCTGGGAAGGGGCAGGGATGAGCCTCCAAGGCCCTTCCTACCAGCAGACGTCAGGCCCCTCTGCATGGGGAGAGAGGGGAGGGCAGGGCTTCACCCTGTCTCAGGATGCAAAAGCAGCCTTGAGCTATGTTCCATCATTGTAGGCGCATTTTCCACCAGGAGACTGGAGAGACATTTGGTTCCAGAACAGACCGATTTATTGAAAATTCAACACGTCAGACCCACGTCTTGCTCATCAGTCCTTGATGGGCCCACAAGGAGCACCTGTGAATAGTGTGACATCATGCAACATCAAGAATCCACCTGGAGGGAGGCCAGGCAGCCTTGGGCTAGTCACGTTCTAGCTCAGAGGGTACCAGGCCCTGCAAACCTCTCCGGAGCCAGGACCGAGGGCTTGGTCTCTTGAGCAGCCTCCTGCCTGGGTGTCGTCCTAGCCAGTGTTTGAGCATATTCCCAGTCCTGTGTTTTTGCCAACTCCTCCAATGTGGGACTTCTTTTAGACTCAGAGCCTTGCTTCTGAATTTCCTTATCACTCAAAAGCAAGTCAATTAACTCTTTAAAACCCAAATCAGAGTCACCATCCCCTGGAAGACACGCAGCCTCTTCCAGAAAGTGTCTTGTTTCCACTATGGCTCTCTCATTTTTTTAAAAAAAAGATTTATTTATTTGTTTGAAAGTCAGAGTTACACAGAGAGGAGAGGCAGAGAGAGAGAGAGAGAGAGAGATCTTCCATCTGCTGGTTCACTACCTAGCTGGCTGCAAGGGCCGGAGCTGTGCCGATCCGAAGCCAGGAGCCAGGAGCTTCTTCCAGGTCTCCCTCGCAGATGCAGGGGTCCAACGACTTGGGCCATCTTCTACTGTTTCCCAGGCCACAGTGGAGAGCTGGATCAGAATGGAGCAGCCAGGACTCAAACCGGCACCCATATGGGATGCCAGTGCTAAAGGCGGTGGCTTTACCTGCTACGCCACAGAGCCGGCTCAGTCTCTCACTTTTCTTACCGTACTGTGCTCATTTGTTTGTGTGTCTACCTCACCTGTAAGAGGGCAGCCCATCACAACACCTGGCAGAGGTTGGATTTCAACAGAAGGGGATGGAATGGATGAGCCATAGGTGGAAGCAACACGCAGGGGACTCCAGCTGCCATTCCAGCTTCCAATGTGGACATACCAGGCTCCCGTCGGCTTCACTTGCCCTCTCGTTATGGGACAATCCAGGAGGTGAGTGCTGGGTGGGCCCAGACAGCACAAAGGAGCAGGCAAAGGGGAAGGGCTGGGTTGCAGGACCCCTGGGTGGCGTTGGGGTTCTGCCAGCTGATGCTCGGGAACCCTAGCCGGAGCAAGGGGACAAGTCTCATTCCCAAACTATCTTGCAGTGATCTTGCAAAAGCAAGGTGTTCCTGTGCGCTGTTACTGTCTTCTGTAGCTCTGTGCAACCTCTTTACCTGGTAGAATTCTTGGCTGAAGGCTTTCCATCCCGAGAGGAACAGCTGATGAGCCACTTTGGGGAGTTTCATCAGTGCCACATCTGGGCCGATCTGGGTTCAAGTGACAACATGCCAGCAAGTAAACACTGAAGTCAAAATGTTCCATGGCAGGTTTTGTCACTATAGACACCCTGTGCACTCATTAAAGCATACTTTCCTAGGGCCTTTTTTATAAATTCACTTCCAAATGTATCTGCGTTTGAGCTTTGAAGCAGGTTGACTTGAGCCATCATTTGTCTCAGAACGTTTGGAAAACACCAACCCTTGGTGACTGCTCACCACTCCATGGAAGGCTGGGTAGGGCTGCTCTTTGCCTAGTATTTGGAGAAGTGAGTGGGGAGATGGGAGGACCCACTGGGAGACTGGGGGCTGGCCTTTGGGTCACAGGAGTTGGCTGGCTGGGCCAGGCTGGAATTTCAGATCTGCGGAATGTTTTCCTGGCTAGGTAACTGACTGCCACACACTGGAAAAGTAATAGGACCAGGAGCCATATCGTCCCCTTTAATGTCAGGGCCAGGGGCTTCCTGGAGCAGAAGGGGGGGGGGGACAATCCTTGCAGAAGTATCCTGACCCATCCCCAAACACTGCCCTTCACCAAGGGGGAAGCCAGGTCAAGTCCAAGCAGGGAACAGAAGCACCCAAGGAGGGGCGGGGCAGAGAAAGCGAACAAAGGCGCTGTGCACTTGAAGTATCTTTGTTGCTCAGCCTTTGGGCGGCTTTCACCCCTACTGCTTTCTGCTTGACCAGAGGCTCACGCGTTAGCGGAGGAGGAGGAGGAAGGAAGGAAGGGGAGAGGGTGGAGGAAGAGTGGGAGCCAGGTCTCCCAGAGAGCGCAAGGCGGCCAGTGCCCGAAGCCCAAGCGCTTACCTGAGCCAGGCTTGTCCTCTGCCATCTCTGCGGCCCTGACCCGTGCGTCTGTTTGCGCTCTCGGTTACCATGGGGACGGCGCCCCCTCGACCTCCGCGGCCCCCATCTAATGTGGCGGGCAGGGAGTTCTAAGCTGCTGCACCTGTCCCCAGGCGATCTCCTCGCGGGGCGGGGCGAGGCGAGGGAGGGGGTGGTGTTTGGGTCAGTCCCAGGGGCTGCCCGCAAAGTTTTCTTCATTGTTTGCGTCACAGGTGGCAGTTGCAGCCACAGAGGGGGACTGTGTTTCCCTGGATGGAGACTGTGCATACCACACTCCAGTACGAGGAATTCTAGAATCCTGGAGCCCGGCGATGAAGAATCAGGCAGCGTGGCTTCCCCAGGGGCAGCCCTCTGACGGAACCCAGAGCCCTCAGCAGCCTGGAAGGAGATGGAGTCGACTTGTGTGAACTTCGTGTGGGGTCAAGGGTTGGCGGCGCCCTGGCCGCTGTGGGGCGACATGCTGGAACGGCATAGGGTTCAAGTGGACAGGTGAGCAGTCCATCCTAGGTGGGCTTTTCTGCTCAGCTACCACAGCGATTTCGGAAGAGCTGGATCTTTGACATGCCTGGAATTCGGTGTGATTTCTTTCCCCATTTAAATAAATAGTCATGTGTGCACCCACATTTGTAACGCTAAGCCCCCGCCCCCCATACTGTGTAAGCTCCAGCTAGCCGCAGAGAATCTTGGGTACTCCGTGGAGACCAGGTGTGAGTTACTGGTGGTGTTGTTTTCATATTGTCCCCTGGTGGCCTGAGCCAAGCTCTTGGGAGGGGGTGGAGATGACAAAATGGGGGGGGGGGGAGTCCAGTGGGAGAGGCATGGGGCACAGGGGACCCCAAGGCTGCTGTGCCTGGGTTGTATAAGGAGATAAGCTAGATTCTCGCGCTCCTCCTCCTGTCCCTGATGTGGAGAAAGTGGGAGAAAAACAGAAGAGTTGCCGAGTCTGCCCCAGCATCACGGGGTGTGGGAAGCAGTAGAGGAGACCCGGAGACAGAGGCTGCTGGCCTCTTCGGTCCACACCCCAACGATGTCTTGAAGCACAAAGGAAGACTTTGAGGGCAGAGATTACGATGCATTTTGCTGGCCTGGGGGACCTGGGCAGATACTGCTTCTCGGGTCTATGCCTTTTGATGACACTCAGGGGCCGTGCCCATGAGCTGGTTTCAGGAACTTTTGTAGCTCCCTGTGGTCTTCATCAACCTCAGCAGAGTCTAAGTGACAAAGAGAAGTTTCCCAGCCCACGACTTCCAGGGACCATGGTCCCCAAGCGTCTGACACACAGAAGGTTCCAGTGTCCACTTGCAGTCAGAGGCCTGCAATCCTGGAGGTTGTCATGGCAAAGCTCGTAGGTTTCATGTTGCCTGTTTATGTGGATTGATGCCTTCCTTGGCCAACATTTTATTGAACACCTACTATGCACTGCCAGTGTTCTAGGAAGTGTTGGGGATCCAGACTAAGCAAGATAGAGTAAATCCCTCATTTCAAAGACTTAAAAAGAAGGGATTTTTTACTCTCTGAGACAAAACTCATCAGTGACAGTTTTGAGAGCTTTGCTTCATATTTAGCGGTTTCACATTTTTTCTTTCTCTACTCTGACAAGGCCTGTTTGGCTGGGAGGAGAAGGGAGAGAAAGAATAAACTATCTTTGTGGAAGAAAATCCACTCTCTGAGATCCATCCTTTTGCCAGGAAAATACCAAATCTTAACTTGGTCAATGCCAAATTGTGGCTAAGCACCTGCTTCTCATCCTGGGCTCTCAGCTTTGGATTCAGCTGCCTATTGGAGTGAATTCATGGCTCCTCTTAAGAGAACTTCCTGCCTCCAGGGTGAGGTGAGGCTCTGAACCCTCCTGGATCCTCTCTCTCTCACCCCCATGCAGCTGATTATAAATCACTATTGCCTCTACTTTGACCTGGGTGGGCAAATGTCAGACTCCCGGGCCATTTGCAGCAGAGTGTCAGGCTTGCCCCCTCCCACCTGCCCCAGAGAACAAGGACAACCACAGAGCTTACTCTTGGCGAGGCAAGCCAGCAGTGACGGTTGGGGAGGCAGACTGAGGTCCGTGTGGACCGTGCGTTCCTCTGGGTTCACTGAGCTCTCTCCTCGCTCTGAGTTAGGTTCCTGAAGGCAACACCTTTCAGGTCATTTTTGGCACTAACTTGGCTGCCTCTGGAAAGGCCTTTACCTAGCTGTGATTGAGATACATACACTTGAGCTTTATTGCAAGCTGATAAGAAAATGGTCATAAAACAAATGTTTCTGTACTTTTGGCAAAAAATCCTTGTGAAAGACATCATCTACTTACTGATCACTACCCTGTCTGTAAAGATTCAGGAGCAGAACCCTAGACTCCCATCTAACCACCTGCTGGAATAGGTGTGTCTCATTGGACCAAACCCAACCCGATTTGCACCCTGCACCCCTCTGCCCCGCCCATCCTCCCTTAGGTCATTGCTGTAGCTCATACCAGCGGCTCTGAACCCACCTGGGATCTTCTCTCTCTCTCTCTCTCACCCCCATGCAGCTGGTTATCAAATGCTGTTGCCTCTACCTTGAGTGCGCACCAGAATCTCACCATTTCTCCCCACCTCCCCCAGTGTGGAAGACTATACAAGCTTCTGAGTTGGTCTTTCTACTTCTGTCCTTTGTGCCCTACCCCATCAGAGCTGCCAGCCCCAGCCTTCACCACACGCGTGGCCCATGCCCAGCTTGGCTCAAAGGCACACCATGGCTTTTCATTCTTCAGGGGATCCCTGCTTCCGCTCCCTGCCCTGCCCCTGACTTGCTGTCCTTGAATTCAGCATGCTCCTGATTCGTGTCACAGAGCCACTGGGGTCTTCCCTGCCTGCGCACTCGTTCACCCCGTCTGGAAGACACAGGAAGGATAGCCATGTGACTGCTCCCTCTTTGTGTTTCTCTGCAGGCCTCAGTCCCTCGGTGAGTAGCTTCCCGGCCACCCCATTAGAATGGCAGCCGCTCTGTGAGTGCTCGCTTTCCTCTGCTCCAGTTTCCCCTTCCTCCTCGCTCTGGTCACCTGATCTGACAATTCTCTGTATTTTGTCTATGATCTGTCCCACTGGGGTGGATGGCCAGTGCCCTGAGGGCCGTGACTTTTGCCTGTTTGTTCTGTTTTGCTCACTTCTGTATCCTGACCTCTAGACTACCTGGGGTCCGGTGGGTCCTCAATCCATACTCAATGCTTGATGCTTGATGAATACTCAGATGGACTTTGGCAGAGCAGCAGTTAACGCTGGGAAGGGCGAAGCAGTGACTAGCAGTAGGGGGTGAGCCAGAGGGCTCCAAATAAAGTGACTCCTTGTGACTCTGGGAAATCCTGCAGCCCCCCCTCCCCCCGAATCCCGGCCCCTTGAGCTGGGTCTGCCCTTTGCCTGCCCCTGAAGCAGGATGGATGTGATCCCGACCTACTGCCCGTCCTGCCTCCTGCTCCCCACCTCCCTCAAAGCACCGCTTACTGGCTTCTGCAGCCTTCGCCCCCTCCTGCCCCCTGCCTCCCTCAGCCATCAGAGGCCAATTCCTGAGGTTGCCTGTGGCAACTATGGAAGCTTCCAGAGATTACATCTATTGCTTTCTAGCATCTGCCCTTCACTCTGCTGCTGAGCCAAAGGCGGTGAGGCTGATAACAATTTGTTTTTCCGCAAAACAGGGCTGGTGGCTTCTCTTCACCTGGTATTGTTCCAGGTAACTGCAAATGGGCTCCCGGAAAATCCATTTTTATGTTTTTTTTCCAGATATCACAGGTTGACCCGTGATTGCCAAGGGCATCTTTTTTCTTCACAAAGCAGGCACCACCTGTATCCCTTTTCAAAACTCTGGTTCCTAGCTTTGCTTTAACCCTTACCAGATTCTTACTTATTATGCAATTCCCATCATTGTGTCTTGCCTGGTGGTGGGTGTTAGTTCTGGCATCTTATTCCCATTTGGATTTTTACCTTCCCATTCTAAAGACAGTTGGTTCTTTTTTTTTTTTTAATATTTGTTTAAAAGGCAGAGGTACAACGAGGGGTGGGGGAGATCTCTATCTTATAGTTCACTCCCCAGATGCCCACAATGACTTGTGCTGGGCCAGGCTGAAGCCAAGAGCCAAGAGCTTCTTCTGGGTCTCCCTCATAGGTGCTGGGGCCCAGATACTTGGGCCATCCTCTGCTGCTTTCCCAGGTGCATTAGCAGGGAGCTGGATCAGAAGTGGAGCAGCTGGGATTTGAACCAGCAGCAAATGGGATGCTAGCACTGCAGGTGGAGGCTTAACTCTCTATGCCACCGTGCTGGCCCTGACAGCTGGTTCTGATAACCAGAACCCAGAAAACCTTTTTCTAAAGGACGACAGAGGTGAAAAATATTTTGAAAATCCTGCTTTTTCATATATTGCCAGCTTTTTGAAAAAAAGTTTTATTTACTTATTTGACACAGAGGAGATTGATTGATTCCAACTGTTAGTGCACTTCCTAAATACTCGCAACAACTGGGGCTGTTCCAGGCCAAACCCAGGAGCCAGGAACTCCATCACGATCTCCTTCGAGGGTGGCAGGAACCAAGACTTGAACCATCACCTGCTGTTCCCCAGGATGCTCATTAACAGAGCTGGATTGGAAGCAGAAACAGGACCCAGACCTAGGCCCTCTGACAGGGGATGCTCGACAGTGCCTGCCCCAGCCAGCTTTTCCTCCCCAGCGTGGTGCTCCTTGGGTCCCCTTCTAACTGCACAGTGAAACCCATCCTTCACATTGCAGCTGTCCCATTGGTGCTGTCCCCATCCAGCCACAAGGAAGTGTACCCCAAGGTGACAGAGGCCACGGATGATCTCCAAGGCCCAGAAGTACGAGGGGTCTTCAAAAAGTTCTTGGTCATTGTTTCTTATGAAAAACAAAAACCCACTGGGCATGAATTCTATGCATCTTTGTACCAATACTTTTAACTCCATTTTCCCACGAACTTTTCAAACGACCCCCGTATAGGGAGAGCAAATTGTCCCATGGCTAACTTGGCTCAGTTACTTCCTATAGGGATTAAAATAGTGTACAATGAATTCACCTGACAAATATTTTCCTAGAAGCTTAAAATTTCCATGAATATCACCTGAAAATCTACTGATGCCTTTACCATATTTGAGGATGTCACGAGAAAAAACAAGGCCTGCAGAATAGGTTATGAGAGAGAGAGAGAGAGAGAGAGAGAAATGGAGCACCATATGTCTCTCTGGT